AGTTGCTTTCCTTGTTAACATGCTCCAGAAGTGATGAGACTTTGGGCAAGGAGCTGCGGAGCGTTGCTGCTGGCTGGCTGAGGTGCTAGAAGGGCAGGATTGGACTTGCTGGTGGGGGGGGGCTACTCTGAGTGGCCACAGCTGGAGGGTGAAGGGTTGGGGCCGGTCACAGCTGAGGCTGAGCTGCTGATGTCCCTGCAACCCGCTCACAGTTAGGTGCCCGTCCTGGGTTAAGGCTTTGTGTCAATGGAGCTCTGCCGCCCTGCGAAGGGTGCGTGTGGAAGGGGTTGGCCAGCCCAGGACCCCTGGCAGCGGCAACGCCTGGGCGTGCTGCTGTCATTCCACAGCCAAGGCGTCTGCTCTGTCACTTGGCCGTGGAAGAAATCTTCGCAAGTGAAACCCTAGCAGCACAAGCCTGGTACGTTTCCCCTAAAACATGCCTGTTCCCACAGTGATGTGCTTTGAGAGAAGAAGGGAGGTATTTGCAGGCGAACAGCCCAGCGTGCCTCTTGGTCCCCACGCGTGCAGTTCTTTCTGGAATGAAATCTGGCGTTTTGCTGAGTTGCAGTAGGCCACCCTGATACTTCTGGGCCTCCTTCATGTTCTTGTGATACCCAACTCAAAGAAGTAGCACGTGCAATACGTGGTTTTGCCAGCTCACTTAGCATTGCTTTCTCTACCTCTCGTTGCCCAGAGCAGCCCACTGGGGACCCCAGGAGGCCCCCCTTGGCATGAGAGCCCACAGATGCCCTCTGCACGCAGCAGTGCTAATGAAGGCACATCAGTTACATATCCAGGAGCCGGTTTTCCAACCAACGGGCTGTGCTAGTTCTGCCAGTTTCTGCTATCTTTTCTCATTTCTAGGAGCCGTGAGCCCTTTGCTCGAGAGCTAAAAAGTTGTTTGCAGAAACGTGAAACATGACTGGTTTTTGGCTGGCGGCGTGAAACTGCCTGCCATCAAGTGCCAAGCAAAATCCATCCCTGCTTGTCTTTTTGCTTTGAACGAACTGGCCTGTTCCCCTTTTTCCCTTGGCTGATTCCAAACCAGCGGCTCCCGTGTTGAGCTTTTATGCTGTCTCAGGGCTGGCGATGTAACGTCAAGCACAACATTTTGTATAGTACAGTATGAGAAAGGCGGCTTTCCACTTTCAAGCGCCTGCAGGTTGGGAACCTCTCCAAAGGCCCTTGAATGCAGCGGATACAGGCAGCGGTCCCATCCGCGGAAGAAAGAATCCGGGTCAGATCAGCTCCTACCTCCGAAGGCCCCAAGGAAGCACCTTTGGACTCGATGCGGCAGATTCTAGAACTGAGCACAGAAACCAGCAGGCACGGCCCCGTTGCACGGAGAGGAGCCTGAGTCCGTGGGTTGCACCAGGGCCCCGTTTTGCATCAGAAGAAGCTTCCAGCCCTGCTGAAAGGCAGCCCCAGCACTGATGCTTCCTCATGGGAAAGGCTTTTGTGTGCAACGGCCTTGGCAGGCCTGCCTCTCCATGGGAATGCCCCTTTGCACGGGCCTGGAAAGCTTGCACAATTCTGGCCAGCTGCACGAAGAAGTTTCAACCCAGGTTAACAAAACACTGTTGTAGTCGCACAGGCTGTATCCAAAGCAATAGATGTATTTCCGTGGTGGCTGAGGTGCCTGGGACCAAGTACCCAGGTTGGTTCCCATGACATGCCAAGACCTATTTGAGGCTGGTCTGCGGCCTCTTTAGCCTCTCTCCTCCTCTGCATTGGAGACTGGCAGATCCAGGCCTGCAGCCTTCCCTGTGGGGCCCTCAGGTGCACACCTTCCAGCCGCCAAGGTTCCGGAGCACTGCAGTAGAGCAACAGAGGTGGTGCTGGACGGTCAGCGAGGCCTGTTGGATCCAGCACCCCCTTTTCAGGCAGGGTCCCCACTTGCTGCCGACTCCTGCCTGTGATCTTCCTAGAAGCGAAAGCCTTTTCTTGCTATTCCTCCCCACTCTGCCCGGGCATTCAACAGGCTGCTCTCGGGGCTTGGCGCTGGGGACTGTCTTCCTCTGCCCCGATCCCCTTCGGTAGCCAAAATAAGTGCACCCCCCCACAACACTCACACAAACACAATTCCATCAAATTCTGTCAAGGGAGTGCACGAGGTGTGTGAAGAACTGAACCTTGGTTTTTTTGTTTCTGCCTTTGCTCCAGCTTGCGCGTGCCGTATTTCCTTCCCCTTCCAAGCAAAAAGGCAGAGAACATTTCTCGCCCCTTTGGGCAGGGTGAGGCAGCTCAGGGCCAGATCCCGCGGGGACA